ATGATGACATGGAGAGATAGAGCAGCTGAGGACTCTAGACTCATGGAAAGAGAAAGGCTGTGTGCTGGCAGCCAGAAGGCAGGTTTGCAGAATGTGCCTTTTGGTTGTTTAAATGATTATATATTCCTGAATGTTTTTGTATATACATATAAAATAAATAAACAGAGGGAATAGAAGTCAATATTGTTGAATGATGATGCCTGGAGGGGATTGTAATCATTGCAATGAAATGAAATACGGTAGGGTAAGTTCAAAACCGATGTTCTCCTGTGTAAACAAACTATCACTCAATTCACAATAAAAGCTTTAAAAAAAAAAAAAAAACACAACAAAAAACATATCAAATTATTTAATTTTTCTATCCCTTATAAGCATTTGAGTAAAATTTCTCCAGCAGGCAATTTTATCTTGTGACTTGGAATATAACTCTGAGCAAACTATACATATCCCAGTTGGAGAAGCAAATGTTAAGTTTTAGAGTTATTTGCTTTTGTAAGGAGTAACTGCTGTTAGAGTAGAAAGTATTTCTGAGGTTCCAAACTTTTTTTTTTTTTAAGTGCCACAGTTTGCTTGAACTCCTAGGCATATGTATGCCATAAAATTAACAAAAATCTTCATGATTCCTTAGGACACTGAATTAATTTTGTGATGTAGTGAATTACTTAGTATGTACAGTCCTAAAATTTTATGACATTCCTTCATCTCAGTGTTCCTGGCCTGTCCATATGGGAGCCCAGCCAATGGTTCCATGAGGTTAGTGAATATGCATGTATGGGTGGATGTGGGCGATGAGGTGGTACATCAGTCAGGTTCCTGATGTACCAGTACATTCTTCTGCTATCTTGGTGTCACTACCATGGCTATTAACAATAGAGATGGCTTTGGCTAACTTAAAACACACACACATAAAACCTTTTGGTAACTTATCATACTGAAGGGAGACTAAAAAACTGGATCTGAAAAATGAGGAGCCAAGTATCTTCCCAGAATCTAAGTAGCAGAGAGTGAGTCTCTTTAGGGCTTCTGTTAAGATCAGCTCCATCCATTTTTCAGTCTCTCTGTTATTTCACTCAAGATTCACCTTCCAGAAAGAAAATTCCCTGAATGTTCCCTGATTAGGTAAGTATATTACTTAGAGTGACACTAAGACTATATCTAATTAGGGAATGTGATATTTCCCCTAGGTAAAACTGAGATGCTATTATAGAAAAGGGAGACTAGATTCTGGGCAGGTAAAAACAACATTCTTTCTAAGTAGTTAAAGTCAGTTATAAAGAACTTGGCAAGCCACATTCTGGAATTGAGAATTTGTTGGGTAGGCAATGACAAGCCAGTGAAGGACTTGAAGCAGGAATTGACACAGTCCCAGGCAAAACTTCTGGCAAAATTTCATTTTAAGTTGTTGATTTACCTTATTTATGTTTATCTGTAGTGAACAACTTTAAGTCTGTCTACATTTCTCATTGATAAGGAAGAGAACAAATCCAATTTTCTTGCCTCTTTCCATAAGGCTAGATCAGTATCTGTTTTGATTTTTCTTGACATTTATATAGGTAAAGAGAGGAAACAAACTGATCAAATCTTTACAGATCCAAAAAGGCTTCATGTTCTTTTTCAATAAGATCTCCACTCCCTTCCCATATACTGGAACCAGCTTTTAGAGCTAAAAAAACACATTTGCTAAAATTTCAGGAATTGTATGAGCTGATGGTTAAATTCAGACATTTAAAAAAATTAAATTACATAAAGGCAAAATAAAAAAATATATGAAGCACAAAGGTAATGAATACTTAAAGCTCACCACTTCCTAATTATTTTGCTATTATCTATGTTCTTGAGGTTGTTTATATCTTTGTATGGTATATATTTATTGTTTAGTGGAAATATTTTATAATTCTATACTGCTATGTATCTCTTCCCAACTCTGTGTTCAATGATGTTATGTTGATAACTTGAAATTGGTAACGGTGGTAGAATTTACACTAAGGAAATTGGCAAACACTACAAATCAGAGCTTCTTTATCCTGGAGAGAACTGATTTGCTAGCATACCACTGCCCCCCTCTTCAGTCCCAATCCCCTTTCTGAAGTCCCTTAGAGCCAAAAAAATAACCAGAACCTGGAGTAGTCTCTTTGCAGCCCAATTTGGCTGACAGTTCAAAACAAATAACAAAGATGGTGAAAAGTCCAGTTAGTTTTTGTATTTATTTTGTAACAGTCTAACACGTGACTTTTAGCTCTGACACAAGGATGTGGAGGACCCAGGATCATAATCCCAACAGTGCCTCTCTCCTTTACCAGAGATTTCCCCAGGAAGTTTGTTATAAATGTGTTTCCTGGCGATACATTTACTAATTCTGTTTCACAGATAGAAAACTTTGAAGACAAAGGCAATGAATCCATTCATTTTTTCCTAATGGGGAATTCTAGAATTCTCTGTCTGCTGTGAACCACTTGTAAGGCAGTGAAAAGTAAAGCCTCTAGTATGTTCCGCTGCTACCTTTGAGGCCCCAAACCCCAGTTGTCATGCAGTTAATTTCAACTGATGACAACCCATATGTGTCAGAGTAGAATTGCGCTCCACAGAGTTTCCAGTGGCTGGTTGTTTTTGAGAAATAGATTGTCAGGCTTTTCTTCTGAGGAGCCTCGAGATGAACTCAAACTTCCACCCTGTGGGTTCATAGCTAAGTGTGTTATCCATTTACACTATCCAGAGACTCCTACCTTGGTGGCCACTGACAGCTAACTCCTCTCTCCTTTCAGGCTCTGGGAACTGCAATGTCTAAGAGACATATTAGAGAATTAAGTGTACTTTATAAAGGTGTTTCTTTCCTCTTCTCCAACCAGAGGGCAGCAGAAGGGACTTGCATACTTTGGACTGATGCTGATTGGGGGAAAGAGAAAATGCAGGCTGTATTTTTGGGTTCCTTGGTGATCTCCCATAATTCAGATCAGAAAGATTTTTATGGAGAAATGGGGTAGAGAGCAGGGCAGTCATTTGAGATTGGAAGCTTTGATGAGACCATTGCTAGTCCTTCTCTAAGGGAAGGACAGTACCCCATTTGTTCAGCAGGCATGGTTCCACTGCAGCACCTTTTTAACCAGGGGTGGGAGTCACCGGTATGTTTTTTTTTGCTTCACCTTGCCTTATATTAGCTTGGTTGTTTTCTTTCTTTGGCACCACTTCATATGGTTAGATATCTGACCTGGCCCTGCTGCTGGCTTTGCAGCCTGCTCAGGGGTCTGGTGTCTTCCTCAGTCAGCTCTGCACACAGGGAAGGCATCTTCTCAGCCAGCAGCCCTTGCTTTGGCGCCATTTGTGGCTGCAGCTCTTTTTTATTTTCCTTCCCTACCCCGGAGGACTGTATTTTGTCTTCTCCACTGCTTCCTGACCTTCTGTGGTCACCTTCTCTGCTTTCTGCCTCTTCTCTCCTGTCTCTGATTCTGCTTCCTCTGCAGGATGCTTCTTTTCCCCCACTTCCACCTGAGCATAGGATGGCAGCTTCTCTCGATAAACCTGGGACAAGTCCCCCAGGTGCCTTGTGCCGAGCTTCTCCTCAAACTGACTGAAAGGCTTAGCAGATAGTGGACTGGTCTCCATCAGGCCAACCTCAGTCAAAGGGAAATAGTGGGAAACGATTTTCTCTTCTTCAAGGAGATGGTAGCTTTCTGGATGGAAGAGACAGCAATGGACTGGAGGGATTTCTCTGTAATCTCCCCCAGTGGCTGCTCTACCGCTTCGTGAAGGTGGACCGGATCCTCTTTAAGGCCCAGGTAGCTCATTTCTGTAATATTGAGTAAGAGATACACAGAGGCCAGACAACATAAACAGAATGAAGATGGTTTTCTCAGTGGGCCGTGACACAAAGCAGTCCATCACATCCGGGCAGGGCCACCACTGGCTACAGTGGTAGAGGTGTAGGATCCGGTAACCATACAGGAAGTAGTGGCCCATGATAAAGCCCACCTCAAACAGGGTCTTGAAGATAATGTGGCAGATATAGGTCTTCAGCTGGGTCCCCTCCAGTCGGAACTTCTTGGTGCTTCTGCTGCTGTTGCTACTCTTCTTGATGCTGGCCTGGTCGGGGGGCAAGGGCCCCCTCTCATTGTCGTCGCCCTTGATCTGCTGGTACAGCTCCTCTGTTTCTCGTTCCTTCTGCTTCTTCTCCATGCGGATGTGGTGCATGGCATGGCCTACGTAGACCGGGGAGGGAGTGGAGATGAAGATGATCCGCAGCACCCAGAGGAAGATGTGGGAGATGGGGAAGGCGTGGGTGTAGCAGACGTTCTCGCAGCCCGGCTGCTGGGTGTTACACACGAAGTTGGACTGCTTATCCCCCTACACAAACTCTGCGGCTGTGCCGAGGATGAGGATCCGGAAGATGAACAGCACAGTGAACCCTACTCTGCCAATGACTGTGGAGTGCTCGTTCACCTCCTCCAATATGTTTCCGTAGTGGTTATGAATCGGGCTGCGAACCTTAAGGCCAGCAGTTCGAAACTACCAGCGGCTCCGCGGGAGAAAGATGAGGCGTTCTGCTCCTGTAAAGATTTACAGCCTCGGAAACCCTGTACGGGGTTGCTATGGGTCGGAACCGACTCGACGGCACTTAACAACAAGAACAACATGTTCCCCAGGAAGTCACCCATTGCTCACCCAGGTAGAGGAGGAAGAAAGCAAAAGCTGAGTGCCACAGTGCAATCTTGACACAGTCTCTTTTCTCTAACTTTTGAGTACCTCTTCTTTCTGAGTTGCTGGAACACTCAAGGTATAAAACAAAAAAACAAAAACAAAGAACCCCAAACCCACTGCTTTCCAGTCGATTCTGACTCACAGTAATTCTATATATAGGACAGAGCTGAATTGCTCCTTAAGGTTTCCGAGACTACATTGTTTCTGGAGCAGACGCAGCCTCGTCTTTCTCTCCTAGAGCGGCTGGTGGGTTTGAACTCTGACCTTGTGGTTAGCAGCCCAACACCTAATCCATAGCGCCACCAGGGATCCTAGCAGTATCTGTTAAAAGTTTCCTTTCTGCAGACTAGGGAGGACAAAAGAATCTGCTTCTGTTAGCTTCCTCATCTGTTAAATGGATCTAACAGTAATGTCTGTTCTAATTCATTTCAAAAAGTGATCTGAAAGGATAAATGAGGCAATATCTGTATAATTCCTTGGCTCCATAAAAATAAGGATCCATTGTTGACCATGAATAGAAACCCATGATTATATGGGTTTAAATTAAGACCGCAAACTGAACTAATGATCATGGTTGAAGGCAAGTGGAAGGGAACTAGTACTTATTAACTATCTGCTTTGGGATATACATTATATTATTTCATTTTATTTTATTTTGCTAGATTTTAATCTCCATGATCGTAGGGACAACACCTGCTTTATTTACTGTTATTTACAGTACTCACATGTAAATTGTTTATTGACTAAATCCCAACACATGAGAAAACTGAGACTCAAGGAGGACAAATCAATTGTCTAAAATTAGACAGCTAAATTGGAGATATTGCAAGTTTTATTCCAGACCACTGTATCATACACAAAGTTTTGGTTTCCTAGTGCAAATAAAGGAATCCTGGTATGGCTTTGTGGACAAAGCACTGGACTGCAAGGTTGGTTTAAAGTGCAAGGTCAGTGGGTCAAACTCATCAGTCGCTTCTCGGAAATCCTATACAGGGTAATTATGAATTGGAACCGACTTGGCAGCTCTTGACAATATTGAATATGAAAGTTTATACTATACTGTACTCTCTAAGTGTGCAATAACAACTTCATACAGCTTAGATACACTACTATCAAAATTTAATTTCAATGATTTTAGCTGTGTTCTTTTGTAGATGCAACAGGGAGATGAATATTATGAGGATGATAGCTTTTGGATTCTAGAGAAATTGGCACAAGAATAAAGGGAATGCTCCTAAACAGATTTCCTAAAGAATATAGCCTGGAGCAAGTTCCAGCATATATATAATTCTTTCACCCCACAAACTTGGTCTGTGCATCTATGCCATTGCCATGTGATTCCAAATACAATAAAAACCCAAATCTTAAAAATTTCTCAGCAGTTCATAGAGTGCATTAAGAAATTCAAATGTTCAATTTTCTATAGTGTGTATAAAACATATAGGCTTCCCACAAAAAGGAGCCTTTCCAATGAGGAAATACCTATTGGTCACAATCCTATTAAATGCATTACAAATTTGCAATCTTATATTTTTTGTTTTCCATTACCTGTAAAAACTAAATTTGAATTTACAATTAAGTTTAGGTTTCCTGATGTGTGCCCTTCTATTTTAATATCAGGACTAGCTGATCATACCTCAGAGATATGCAATAAAGCAAGTCACAGGAATTTTTGGTTTCCCAGTGCATATAAAAGTTATGTTTACATGATGCTGGAGTCTATTTAATGTGCAATATAGTATTGTGAAAAAATCTGAACTATTGTGAGGATTACCAAAATAAAACACAGAGATACAAAATGATCACATGCAGTTGGAAAAATGCAGTGCTGAGCTTCAAGCAGAGTTGCAAAAACCTTCAATTTGTAAAAACAACAACAACAACAACAACAACAAAACACCCTCTAATAGCTATAAAGTACAATAAAGCAAAGCACAATAAAACGAGGCAAGCCTGTAGAATCAGAGATGTCTGTCAGATCCCAAAGCCTGGTCTTTTTCTACTATAACACTGAGATACATGGCTTGTGATTGGAATGTCACAATTCTTCAATTCCTGTATTTGTAATATTTGCTTTTTGTTTTCCATGTCGTATGGAAACTCTTCTTAATAGCTTTACAGAAGGAGGGCCGTTTATTTTTACTCTTTTAACCTCAAAGAATTGAGCAAGTGTTTTGGAGAGGAATCATGTGACAGAGTGAGGAAGGTCCACTAGGACACTTTTAAAGTTTCATGAGATGAAAAGATTTTGAGATCTGTAATATGTGGCTGCTTCAACAGAGCTAAAAATTGATCTGTAGAGAAAAAGACCATTAAACACGGTAATATGTAATGCCCCCAGCACAGCAATGGCTAATGGAAATGGGATTGACTTGGCAGAATGATGCGTGCAAACTGGGTCACTCAGCCAGTGCAAGCAATAACATCTCTTGTCCCATGTCCTCTTCTGAATCCAGCTTGAGTTTCTATTACAGCAACCCTAAATAACTAAGACAAACACTTCTCTGCCTCTTTTTGTGGGCCTCCTTGGACCCATTTCAGCAATTAGAGGGTTAACAGCTGAGACAGTTCTTAAGACCCTGATCCAGGCTCATGGCCTTCCTATTCTGATTGGTTGGTGCCAGCACTTTCAATAAAAAAGTGTATATTTTAAATATAATTCTTAGATCCTTATAACACTGAAATCTGATGGTATTATTCCCCATTGTTCACTGAATAGAATCTTTGTTCACTGAATAGAATCTGGGCCAGACTCTTTCTCTTTGGGCCTTTGCTATTTAGTTCTCCGTCTTAATTTTTCTCCCTCCATTCAATAATAATTTATAGAGCACCCGTTGGCTTTCAAGCACTATTCTAGGAACTTGTGGTACAGTGGTGATGAAAACAAGTTTCCTGCCCTCATGAAGCTTACATTATAGTGGAAGAAACAAACATAAGCAAATAAAGAAAGAGCTAATATGTGATGTGGTTTAAAGAAGGAAGAAAAATAAAGCAGCATGAGAGAGCCAGGTGTTCAGCAGGAAGGCGGTTCTATTTTATACAGGTGAGCAGAGAAGGCCTCTCTTATAAACGCTATTTACATGGAACAAATTGGAAGGAGGATTTAAGATACCGTCTGTTACTGTTAGCTGCCATCGAGTCATCATGACTTGATGCACAATAGGGGCTGACTTATGTGACCCATAGGGTTTTCATTGGCTGATTTTCCAAAGTACATCTCTTGTCCTTTCTTCCTGCCAGCTCATTTATCTTCTAAAAATGAAGATGATGTTATTCTGTGCCATCAAGTCAATTCTGATTCATAGCGACCCTATTGTTAAGTGCCATCGAGCCGGTTCCGACCCGTAGCGACCCTGAACAGGGTTTTCGAGGCTGTAAATTTTTACAGGAGCAGAAAGCCTCATCTTTCTCCCGCAGAGCAGCTGGTATAGGACAGGGTAAAACTGCCCTCATAAGGTTTCCTAGGTTGCAGTCTTTACAGGAGCAGAACACCAAGTCTCATGTGAAACTGCTAGGTGGGTTGAAATCGCCCACCTTTCGTCTAGCAGCTGAGCACTTAAACACTGCGTCACCAGGGCTCCTTAAAGATGAAAATAACAGAATTTATTTTCTTTACATCACTCATTCTACCCATTCAATTGTTTATCAACTATCACTGCCATAAAAGTTATCTTTTCTGTCTTGCTTTCTTCCCCAAACATTTATTTAGTACTGTACTAAATGTTAGAGATTAGAAATGAGAGGTCTAATCCTTGCCCTCCTGGAACCCACAGTCTGTGATGGGATACAGATGGGAACACCTAGCCTTGTGATCAATGCTAAGACAAACTCTCCCTAAGGGGCTGTGGAAGCACAGAGGAGGGGCACCCAGCCTGCCAGATGGGCAAGACTGAGAAAGTAAGGAGTGTGGTGAGGCAGAGGGAGCAATGTGTGCACATTTCCAATACTCTATATTGCTGAGCATGGAGCTCTGGTAGCGTAGTGGTTACAAATTGGGCTGTGACCCGCAAGGTCAAAACTACCAGCTGTTCCACAGGAGAAAGATGAGGCTTTCTGCTCCCGTAAAGATTTACAGTCTCGGAAACCCTGTACAGGGCCGCTATGAGTTGGAATCGATTTCATGGCATACAGCCAACCAGCCAGCATATTGCTGAGTTCTTCCCCAAACCTGTTCTTTCTGAAGACCTCCCCACTCCAGGAAATGATCCCGGGCATGCAGTTATTCAGGCCAAAAAACCCCTCAACCCTCCTTTTCACACACACCGCATGAAATCCAGCTGCAAATCCTATTAGTGCTACCTTCCAATTTGATCCAGCATTCTACCCTGTCTCATCACCTCCATCACCACCACCGTGCCTAAGTCACCATCACCATCATTTCTCGTCTGGATTCTCGCAGGAGCTTCCTAACTGGAGTCTCTGGGATCACAGTTGCCCAGGTGTCTTGTTCTCCAAACATAAGCTAGATTATATCACTCCTCTTCTCAAAACTCTCCAATCATTTCCCCTTTAGTGTAAAATCCAATGTTCTTCCCAGAGTCGGCAAGATCCTCTGCAATCTGGAATTTTGCTATTTCTTACCTTAAGTTCTATCAGTCGCCCCTCTCTTCCTCTCCCCAGTCACTCTGGCCTCATTGGAGCTCACTGGCATGTTACCTTCGCATCTGCCATTCCTTCTGCTGAGAGTTCATCTTACAGACACAAATCAGGCTTGCTCCTTGCTTCCTTCAAGTCTCCACTAAAATAGCATTTCTAAGCGAGGCCTTCTCTGCTCACCTGTATAAAATAGAACCGCCTTCCTGCTGAACACCTGGCTCTCTCATGCTGCTTTATTTTTCTTCCTTCTTTAAACCACGTCACATATTAGCTCTTTCTTTATTTGCTTATGTTTGTTTCTTCCACTATAATGTAAGCTTCATGAGGGCAGGAAACTTGTTTTCATCACCACTGTATCACAAGTTCCTAGAATAGTGCTTGAAACCCAATGGGTGCTCTATAAATAATTATTGAATGCATGGAGAAAAATTAAGATGGAGAACTAACAAAGGTCCAGAAAGAATGAGCCTTACCCAGATTCTATTCAGTGAACAATGGGGAATGATTGAAAGATTTTAACCAGGGGATTAATGTCATCAGATTTCTGTGTTATAAGGATCTAAGAATTATATTGAAAATGTATACTTTTTTATTGAAAGTGCTGGCACCAACCAATCAGAATAGGAAGGCCATGAGCCTGGATCTGTGATTCCGGGTCTGGCTAGATAGTGCCTGGTGGCAGGATATTGATACTCAGCTATAACCTCTCAGAGTCTCACAGAAGCAGCAGTCTGCCTCTTGTTGGAGAGCAGAGGGTGCTGCTCCTCTTGACACCCAGAAGTTCCTGCATACTGTTCTTCCATTGGCTTCTGTTGTTGTTGTGTTCCGTCAAATTAATTTTGACTCATAGAGACCCTATAGGACACAGCAGTACTGTCCCACAGGGTTTCCTAGGTTGTAATCTTTACCAGGTCTTTTCTTCCCTCTGGTAGGTTTGAACCACTGACCTTTGGGTTAGCAGCAGAGCACTTAACCATTATGCCAGCAGGCTCCTGAGGTTGAATATATAATAGCAGGGTCCTTCCTCCTGGGAAGTAAGTGCGGCTTTAGCATCTCCAGTTGGAAGTCCTGCATTGGGAAGGATTCTTTGTAAGGAATGGGGCATTAAGGGTGAGGTTCCTGTCCTCAAAATCAGCAGCTCAGAATCAGCAACTAGTCTCATGTGTCTAGTTAAGCTTGAGTTTTTAACTTTCCTCAAATTCCAGTGAAATCTTCCACTTGTCCTGTAAGTAGTGGCAGCCATTGCTATCACTGTCTGGAAGACAGGTGGGAAGCATCACACGTCACAATCAGGAAACACAAAGCCCAGTGATGGCAGAGCCAGGGAGAAGGCCAAGCTGCATATCCAACAGTTCACTCTAAAATCCACGTTAAGACAGCAATTCATGTATATACTAAGATCCAATTGGGTTTTATTGTACTCAGAATCAAGTGTTAATATCCCCATTGCTAGGTGACCTCCATTTTGACAGCCTTAACTGTATTTTATTGTATCAGTCTTTTGGGTTTCTGTATGTACTTCACTCACAGACCCACAATGAATGTGTATGCCAAGCACAGGCTATCAGGATTATATATGTATTATTGTTGTTTCCCCTTCTTTAGTATCAAAAGGTCTTGGTGGGCAGGGACTATTGTGGCTTTATCCTCAGTGAACTACACAACACAGAACAAAGCCTTTCACGGAATGAGGGCTCCACTGACATCAGGAGATGGGGCCAATTGTGATCATTTTGAAATTTCCAGTCCCTGGGTATATGTCATACCAGCATTAGAGTCCCCTTTACTGCAGCTAACAGTGGGGAGGTTTAGAACTTGCAAAGAAATGACAAATACCAAAAAGAATAGTAAACTAATCCTAAACCTGCTGTTTTGAGACACTAGTTTACTCAGATCAAAGATATAAGCTGGAAAGCCAAATGATTCTTGTGACATGAGGAAGCCTCAGGAAGATCCCCCTGATTATTCTATTAGTAATTTCCAGTATGGCTGTGCCCTTCCACATCTCACCCTGCAGAGCTAGAATTGAGTGTGTTTTTTTCTTTTTATGTCTAGTTACAAACTTTATTATAATCATGGAAGTTTAGGAAGTTTGTAGTTTAGGATAAAATATTTCTAAGTTCATGTTCTTAAAATGAGTCAACTATGTTGTTAAGGATAGAAATTTTAAAGGCGCTAAGTACAGGGTCGCTATGAGTAGGAACCGACTCCACGGCACATAACGACAACAACAAGAGATCATACTATTCGTTTCTGGCTTCCAACAATAAATACAATATTTAAAGAAGATCAAATCAGAGTATATCCAAGCAAAGTATTTCATTGGAGCAAGGAGAAATCAAAGTCAAAGGAAGGATACTTTTGTTCTCTTCTTCTAAGAGGCAATTCTCATTTTATTTTGTTTATGAAAATGTAGTGAACTGATCTATTGCAGATGCAGATGGAAAATAAACTGATAAGAGTTCATTGAAGCCTCCACCCCTAAGCTGTCAGTATACTCCCAGGAATATCCTACCGGAGGCTTGATGGTTAGGTAATAATGAAAATTAAACCCTATGCTTGGTTAAGGAGCCCTGGTGGCACAATGGTTAAGCTGCTACCTGAAAGGTTGGCTGTTCAAACCCAAAAAGCGCTCTTCAGGAGAAAAGAGTTTGCCATTTGCCAAGGAAACCGTACGGGGTGATTCTGTTCTGTCCTACAGGGTTGCTATGAGTGGGAATTGAACCGTATACAACAAGAACAACATACTTGTAATTATAAATGATACACTGTCACATATCTATCGCAGGCCTCATAGTGACCTGTGGACACACCAGTGGTTCTCAGAGTTGGATTTCAGAGACAGTTACATCAACAACAAATAAACAGGATGACCAATATAGGGTTGCCGTCTCCTTATTTCACCAAACAAGGACATGAAAAAGAAACTTAACGAAGATGCCAACTATGATTATAATCTGTTTTCACCATCATCTCATAAAAGTGAAATCTTAATACTACAAACTTAGAAAGAACATGACTTTAGAATAAAAGACAATCTTTTGAATTGGAACCAGTTAACTTGGTGAAAATTTTATTGCATTGAGGAGTACTTTTTTCCCACATATTTGCCATAGGCTGCTGAAAACTTCAATTTGGACTAGCACGGACTGGCCCTCAGACTGATTTTTGAGAACATCTGATTTAAACATCATAAGTGACTCGATGACACTTAACAACAACAACATACCCATCACCAGGCAGGGCAACAGACTGGGAGGTTAAGTGAGTCTCTCGAGATCACATACAACTAGTGAAGGCAGAGTCAGGGTTAAGTCTGGTCTTTCAATTTTAAGTCCAGTAGGGTTTCCTTTCCGGCATCTAGCACTGTCTTCTCCTGACTTTAAAGAGGTAGATATAACACAGACATCCATGTTAACAAGCTCCCCAAAGGATTAAATGGCCACTTACCACTTAGTTGGTTTGTTGTTGTTGTTAGGTGCCATCGAGTCGGTACTGACCCATAGCGACCTTATACACAGCAGAATGAAACACTGCCTGATCCTGGGCCAACCTCATTACTATTGCCACGCTTGAGTCCATCGATGCTGCCACTTGGTCAATCCATCTCGTTGGGGGTCTTCCTCTTTATTCTGACTCTCCACCTTACCAAACATGAAATCCTTTTCCAGTTGTTAGTGGAGTGTAAATGTGACTCCATTCATGTTTCCAGAGTAGCCACCTTAATCTGCAGCTCTCATTGACAACAGAAACACCACTCCCAGGCAGACTTTTATGATCCTGAACCAGATCCATTCCTGTGCTCCATAAATGTTCCAACATGGACAACACTTTGCTAGACGTCTCCCCTGAACCCACGATACTCAACAGTTATTAGTATTACTCCTATGGCAGATTTGGAATGAAAAAAGGGTGCAGAAATCTTTCATATACATCAAATACTTGGTTTAGGTCTCTGGAATCCTAGAGGGCTTGTTAATCATTCTGAGAACTTGAAGAGGGCTTGTTAATCATTCTGAGAATTTGAAGAGAATCAAGTTGCTCACCACCCGCACCCTCACTACATTCCTGTATCATTTATAATTACAAATCTCTTCCAACTCTTTGCTAACTCTTAGGCCAATTCCAAGAGGTTTGTCAGAGTTGGAGTTAAAGTCCAGTTATCCCAATCCAAGATTCTACCTTAGTGATAACTTTTCTTTTCAAGAAGCTTGTACCTGGTCCTTAGGTTACGCTGGGAACAAAAAAGGGCGAAAGGCTACAAACAAATATCACCCAAGGAAAACTTGCCAATCTAAGTAGGGTCCCCCAGAGAACTATTTTGCTCTCCTTCTCTCTTGATATTCAGCAGCACAATGGCCACTTTGGACTCTTGGTCACCTAAAAGCCCACTCCCTAGCTCTCTACCCCTACTCCCCCTGCCCACTGTGCTGCATGACTGAGCAGATATGACTGAATTTATCCTGATGGGTAGGTTTTACTGTCCAGTAATATTTTAAGCTCCTAGCCAGACAGCTTTTATAGAGGAGGAATGTTTGGAAAATAATAGGAGACAGAGAATGAAAAGCAGTGATGGGTATTGAAGGGAGGTGGGTGGGGAAAGTTGATCTCTGAAAGCTTAGATGGGGCTTCTGCAAACTCCAGAAGTTTCCTTTAGCAGATCTGCCTTCTACAGGTAGGAGACCTTTTGGAGCCTAAGGGTATTTCCCGAGGCCTTGACCACCAGGTTAGAGAATCTTGAGGACGTAGGGACAGTACGAGTCACCATGTACATTCCTCAGCCCTCAGTCAGACTGTGCCACAGCCAGTTGTGAAAGTAAAGGGTTGGCCCTTTTTTCAAAGATGGTATTTCAGCCTTCATCCTTGGTGATTTGTTCTTGTGTCTCATAATCTTCAGTAGCACAATCTCCCTCTCTAAAAGAGGGACTTTAAAATCCCAAAGATTTCTGATATCATTTGTCAAGGTAATAACTTTGCCCCACTATGTTTTGCTAATAATTACACATACTTTTGAGAAGCTGCAGCCCAATTAAGGGATTGTACAGTCAGCTAACATTTTTAGATTTCAGTGCTATCAACTGTGAAATAGAGGTAT